ATCATTTGCAAAAGCTTGCTTTGTTCCCTTCTAATACTTTCATTAAGGAAACACTTAATTTGTAGGTCTTGTAAAGGTCTTAAATAGAAGAATAAAACAGAAAAGTTGTAAAGGTGTGCTGGTTCCATCTCTGACCAACTTGCAAAAACAATTAAATTTTCAGTGTGAGAATTTACATTTCTTGCTTTTTTTCTTTTAGTTTCTTTTCTCATTTTCTTGTCTTTACAAAAAACATTGAGAGAATGCATGTGCTCAGCATTAGGGTTCTATGCTTTTGAGACTTCTTTCATATTATTTCCGTAATCTGAGTTGCAAACCTAGTGCATTTGTAATGACTTTTCTCACTGGAGGAGTGAGTGATTACTCTGGATGCCTTCAGGAGAGGTGGAGTTATTGAGAGAGCTTATGAGAAGTCACTTTCTTCTTCCTTCCTGTTTCAAGAAAGAACCACCTTGGTACCAGACACTTTTTGAGAAGAACACAAGATAGAGAGAGGGAAAAAAAAGATTGGGAAGTAGCAAACATGTACAGGACCTCAATATATTCCTGATTTCCAGCTTGCTTCCTTGGAGACATTGGCACATTTCTCTTGTGAGACCAGGGACTTTTCACTTGAACTAGACATATTTTATATAACTCTCTTGATGGGAAGGAATCAATCCTTTGGCTATAAGATGTATCCCTTTCTCTTTAAGAGATAATGACCAGGAAGAGTTTGAACCCTGAAATAATTTCCCCTAGATTAGTAACAGTTGTAGGTCAAATATAATTCTAGTCTGTGAAAAGCACAGAGAAGTCAGCCTGGTGGCCCCTTCTTCTATTCTTTTCTAGGCAGGAAGCAAAGCCTCCTTTGGAGATGAGTGGTTGTGATTCCACAAATATCTATTTATGCCTACCTGGGACTCAACTTAGACTCAACAACCCTGGGAGGTAGGTGCTATTTTTATAGCTGAGGATGCCAAGGCAAATACAAATTAAAGCTAGTAAATATCTGAGGTGGGACTTAAACTCATACCTTCCTGACTCTAGGCACAACTCTATCCACTGTGGCACCTAACTCAAAGGAGACAGAAAACTCTTATCTCAAATCTAGGCAAGTTATGTGGCCTAGTTTTCCAGAGTAGTGAAAAATCCACAATAAGGAAGTTTTTAAAGTCAAGACCAGTTTCACACTTTCTATTTATTAGGTTAGTTCCATTAATGAACTTATTCAACAAAAAAATAACTATATGGTGGTCAAATGGTGGCCAGATTGGATGAAAGCAGATAAAGAGATTTGTTATCTTTGAAGGGGAGGGAGTGATCTGATAAATGGATGTATTTAGGTGCAAATAAGTAGGAAGACAAGGTAGGCAATCATGCTAAGGAAATTTGGACATTGATTGGTAGATGAAGCAGGAAAAAACAAGGATCAACCAAAAACCAATTTTATTTCCTCTTCCCCACAGAAATGCAGAAGCCACAGAAAAAAAGTGTAAAGACTAACACTGATTCTGTTTGTCAGTGATAACTTTAAATTTAAATCCTCTTTAAAATGTGATCAGAATAGCACATAACTTTGTAGAAGTTCCCTGAGTCCAATGATATTAGACTATGAGATATATATATCTTGGAGTTTGAGATACATATGACCCTTGAATCTATGAAAAAGAAAAGAATCATTAAATATTTAGGTTAAATAATAAACTCAGGTATTGTGCAATTTACCCAAGATGATCAAAGCTCACTAAAATAGCTCATTAACATGCACAATGGCCATAAAGTATTTAGGAACTACCATCCTTTATTCCATTTTCCAGATATGGAGAATTTAAGAATAATGAGGTTAATGTTGAAAATTATCTTTACATGTAATTGGAAAAAAATAAAATGGATCACAATAGCCTTTGGTAAAACTAAGGAAAAAACACATATTTTCTTACTTCTATCCTATTGCTCCTTTGAAAAAATATCTTAGAAAAAGAAGTCCAATGCTTAATTTATATAAGCAGAGTTAGAGAGCTACAGAATCTGGTGGAAATTCATGAGCCACCAAAAGCTCCATTTATACTCACAGGCTATATGGATGTGGGTCACCCATTAAAACATGTTTCAACATTTATATAGTTTGATTAAATTTTATACTTAATATTTAAATTAATATTAAAATAGATTATTTGTATTAAATTCACTTTTTCTAAGCAATTTCCCTTGCTTTAAAATTTTTTAATTTATAGAATAAAACAAGCATTTCCATAACATAGTACAATAAAAAGGTGATTATACATGAAATTGCAAAATCTACTAGGTACAACTTGAAATTCTTTTCAATTATACAACAAAATTATCATGCAAATTTCTTTTTTTCCTCCCCTGCCCCCCCAGACAAGGCTACCATTAGACATAAATAGCACAAATAGGTGTATGTGTACATACACACACACACACACACACACACACACACACACACACACACATATATATGTGTTTAAAATTATTCTATACACACTTCTATTTATCAGTTCTTTCTCTGGCTACACTTAGTATCTTTCTTTATATGTCCTTTATGTTTCCCTTTCATAAAACTATTTGTAGTTAATGGTACCCCAATTGCATTTTCCTCTGACAGTTCCATCATTCTGAGTTTGTTTAAACATTATTAGTTTCATGTCTACATGGTTTTTATTTCTAGACTTTCAGGCTTTGTGGCATTTTTTCCACTTTGGTTGCTGAGAAATGCTTGTGCTGTGGAGATATTGACTCCCATGGTCACAACTTGTATTAAGAATATCAATGATATAAAAAAAAAGGAAAATGACCTACATGTATAAAAATATTTATAGCAGGTCTTTATGTGGTGGCAAAGAACTAGAAATTGAGGGGATGCCCATCAGTTGGGGAATGGCTAAACAAGTTGTGGTATATGGTTGTGATGGCATATTACTTTGCTTTAAGAAATGATGAGCAGGATGGCTTCAGAAAAACCTGGACTTACATGAACTGACGCCGAGTGAAGTGAGCAGAACCAGGAGAACATTGTACACAATAACAGCAATATTGTGTGATGATCAGTTATGATTTACCTCTTCTTGGTTATGCAATGATCCAAGACAATTCCAAAATACTCATGATAGAAAGTACTATCCACATCTAGAGAAAGAACTATGGAGTCCAAATGCAGATCCTAGTGTACTATTTTCACTTTTTTTGTGTGTGGCTTTTCCCTTTTGTTCTATTTCTTCTTTCATAACATGACTTATGTGGAAATATGTTTATATGATTGCATATGTATAACCTACATCAGATTACTTGCCATTTTGGGGAATGAGGATGAGAGGGAAGGCAGGAGAAAACATTTGGAACTCAAAATTTTATTAAAAAATGAATGTTGAAAACTATCTTTACGCGTAATTAGAAAAAAATAAAATACTATTTTTCCAAAGAAAAGAATATCAATGATATTCTATATTTTCTTTGAAACTGATCCCAAAATATGCTAAATAAATAAAACAAATTCTGAAAAAACCCATAAAATCATTAATGTAATAAAAAATGTCTCTACTTCCTTTCTGAGAAAAAAAAGCAGTTAATTTTGGATGTTACTTAGAAAAAAAAGGCTTGTTAATGGGAAAATTGGAACATTTGACAAATTTGCACCATCCTGAATAGGTGTTTGATTTTTTAAAAGGATTTATCTAGAAGGCTTTTAAAAAAATTAGTGACAAATACTTTCAAAAAATTCTATTGAAAGTGGACGACCATAAAAACAAGAAGTTTAACATAAATCACAGAGCCATTAGATGGAAATTCTTCATTACAAAGTGGAATTTTGTTAAGCCTTGAAATACATCCTCTAATCCCCCAGCTGTGTCTTAAGAGAATACAGAATCAACTTACAAAATTACCAACTTACAAAATTCACCAAACAGATACATATAAAAAGCCATATAATGCCATATGCTACTTTCTCAGTTCTTTTGCTAGAATATGTAGGTCATGTCTGCTGGAATTTCAAGATCTCTCTCAATTTTCAGTGACTATTTGAAAAGAGATATTTATTATTTTCATATGCCTAAAGAGAGACTATGTCAAATGTAGCTTCTTTATGTGGAGAAGGTTTTATGCCTAAGATGTTATGTTGACTGTGTTTCTCCTGGAATAAGTGACATTGATGACTTTAAAATAGAGAACTTATTACCACCAGTTTTCTTTTTTCTTTCATTGTCATATTTTCATGGGGATGTAAGATTGGTTATGAATTCCAATTTATGCTTAAATAAGTGAAACAAAATTATTGTTTCTCAGAAAATGTTGGTATAACTTAGGTTTCTAGCCAACAAAGACTTTGGAAGCTACAGACAAGTAGAGGAAGCTAATTACTCAGTACACCACTGATTTCCTATGTCTTTCTCTCTTTCTTCATGTGTCTGGAGTTAGTCCAGGAGAAAGTCTGGAACCATCCTTGACTTCTCTGAAAGAGGAAAAAGAAGAATGTCTTTAATCTCCAAAGCGTCAACTTCTCCCTCCATGCAATCATGCAGCTTTGGGTCAGCCTTCTCTCTTCCTGTTAGGCAAATCTTGTGAAGAATTTTCCAGACTTGGCTAGAAATCAGTTACACTAGGTTTGAGCAGTTTGCTTTTAACTTACATAACATTGGTGCATCCTTTTCACATACCACATAATTCTCTTGTATATAACATTCTTAAGAGCATGAAGAGGAAGTTTAATTTTAGTTTTAGTCTGTTTTTGCTTTTCTTTTCAGAGAAATTAAGCAGCATCATGAATGTTGTCACAGCACATTTCTAAGTACAAGTATATACAAGAGAATACTGCAAGATAGCATGTTTCCTTAAATATATTTAACTTACTTTAACATCCTATACATTACATGTCTTCTGTAATTACTTTTCATAAAATACTATGTGTGACCATACCTACTTCCTACTGATTGGTATATTTTTAGACTTATACATTTTATTAATATGTGATTTTAAGTAACTGAATTATTATATTTTCTTAGGAGATAGCAACGTATTGAAAATGGAAGCCATTTGCATCAATATGTCAAGCACGACTCTTGTGAATCACACAACTAATTCTGAACTCAAGACAAAGAGACCTCGGGTCATGTCAAAAAATGGACACAGCAATGTGAGGATTGACAAAGTTGATGGTATCTACTTACTTTACCTTCAAGACTTATGGACAACAGTTATAGATATGAAGTGGAGGTACAAACTCTCCCTATTTGCTGCCACTTTTGTGGTGACTTGGTTCCTATTTGGAGTCATCTATTATGTGATTGCATTTATTCATGGGGATCTGGAACAGAGTGAGCACTCCCCAAATCAAACAGCTTGCATTATGAAAGTCAACTCCTTAACTGGGGCATTTCTCTTTTCTCTTGAGTCCCAGACAACTATTGGATATGGTGCCCGTTTCATCACTGAAGAGTGTCCTCATGCCATTTTCTTGCTGGTTACTCAACTGGTTATAACAACCTTAATTGAGATCTTTATCACTGGCACCTTCCTGGCCAAAATTGCAAGACCTAAAAAACGGGCTGAGACCATTAAGTTTAGCCATTGTGCTGTCATTACCAAACATAATGGGAAGTTATGCCTGGTGATTCAAGTGGCCAACATGAGGAAAAGTCTGTTGATCCAATGCCAGCTTTCTGGCAAGCTCCTCAAGACTCACCTTACCAAAGAAGGTGAAATGATACTACTCAACCAAGCTACTGTCAAGTTTCACGTGGATTCTTCTTCTGAAAGTCCCTTCCTCATTCTACCCATGACATTTTATCATGTGCTGGATGAGACAAGCCCCCTGAGAGATCTGACATCACAAAATCTGAAAGAAATGGAGTTTGAATTGGTGGTTCTCCTCAATGCCACAGTGGAGTCCACTAGTGCTGTCTGCCAGAGCCGAACGTCTTATATTCCAGAGGAGATCTATTGGGGATTTGAATTTGTACCTGTGGTATCTCTTTCAAAAAATGGGAAGTATGTGGCTGATTTTAGTCAGTTTGAAGAAATTCGAAGAAGTTCAGACTGTACATTTTATTGTATAGACCCAGAAAAACAAAAACTCGAAATGAAATACAGGGAAGAGGAGCAGAGAGAGAGGGAAATTAGGACAATTTTATTGCAACAGAATAATAACTGATTACATTGGAATCTAAAAATTTAACTTTACAAGCTGATTCTCCAGATTATAAAAGGATAGGCATCTATAGAATGTAAGCTCTTAGAGGGTAGAAACTGTTTCACTTCTGTCTTTGTGGCTCCAGCCCTTAATACAGTGTCTTGCACATAGTAGGTTCTTAATAAATGTTTGTTGAATTAAGTCATTCTATCTTCTATGAGGCTACTAATTACAAATATTTGGCAATAACCTAAAAAAAAGCATTAGGTAGAAAAAATTGATTTTTTCTTTATATCTGGCCAAATAAAATATTTTTCTCCATGAAATATTTTTCTCCACTCCACTCCCTGGGTGCACTTACTATGCTTTATTTAAAATCTTTAAAAAATAAAGTTTTCTAACAATGACTTTGGAAGAACTTGGTCAAACATAATTCTAAGAATTTCACTCCTTCAAGAGTTTTGCTAGATACTAATGGAATAAATATTGAAAGGAAACAGGACTGTATAAAGATAATTAGCAAGACAATTATATGAGATATTTATTTGGTTCAGAGAATGAAAAAATAGACAAAAATCACGTAGTCATAATTTAAAATCTTGTTTCTTGGTTTTGGGGAAGAGAATTATGTATATGTGTATGTTTATGTATTGCTAATTGGCTACACTTTAAGAAAGATTCTTAAAATCATTAGTTTCTTAGGGTCGTTTACTTTTTACCACTTATCTACTTAATGTGCTATAATTTGTAAGAAAATAATGCTCACAAATATATTAATAGCAATTCTTTTTTTAATTGAATTCTTTTGGTTTCTATTTAATTCACTTGAGTACAACTTTGCCTTAAGATTTTCTCCAATGTGTATCATAATCATGAAAGATTCTTTGAAAACTATAACAATGAAGAGAACTTTGTTCTAAAATCCTTTGATTATTAACATCTAGACTTAGAATAGCATAGGACATATTCCCCAAAAGTATTCATTACTGTTATGGAAGATATCTCATATAGATCTAAAAGAAAGAGAGATTCATAGATGGTAAGGTCCCATAGAAGCTTATGTTTGTAGATGATTGTTATGCTGAGTTCATCAAGCTCAGATCACTGCAGAGCCTCTGAAATGAGATTCATAAACACTCATGAGCTTGCCTTAGGAAAACAAAGCAGGTGAAGAATATGTATTTTTGACACTATAAGTTGTGGTTATATGGAAATCCCATGGACCTAATCTTTCAGGACATACATCTTAGACAAACAGTGCAAATGAATAATTAATTTCACCTGTAACTGAAAAGGAAGGAAATAGCTGAATTGCCTTTGGGAAATCATATAGTGTTTTGAACAACGCCAAGCTTATTTCTTAAACAAAGGCTTATATTTTTAATATCAGTATTCTTCTGACAATATTCAGGTTTCAAGTTATAGAATACAGCAGTTTCTGAAGAATTAAATTTATGGTTCACTCAAAGTATATAACTGGCAAAATAGACTACAATATCTTACCAATGAAGAGCTTGGTGGCACAGTGGGTGAGCACTGAATCTGGAGTCAGAAAGATGAATTCAAATCCAGTTTCAGATATTTACCATGTGACCATGGGCGGTTCTTAACCTGTCTGCCTCATTTTCCTCATCTATAAAATGGGAATAATAACAGTACCTACTTCCCAGAATTTTTGTGAGGATAAAATGTGATAACAATTGTGAAGCACTATGTAAACTTTCAAGTGCTATATAAATGTCAGCTATTATTATTATTACTATTATTATAAAGGATATTTTCATAGAAATGCATGACTGAAAAAATGTGGAGATCATCATATAGTAAAGGAGGAAAATCAATGGAAAATCCAGATGTTTATTGGTAACTAATCAGCATCAAGAAACCTAGAAAAAGCCCACCAAAACACAGGATGAAGAGATATAGAAATAGTGCTATATGCTTCCTTGAGACACAATGCCCACACTGCTGAGAAAACTAATCTATTGAAATAACAAAGATTTATAGTGAAGTAAATCTGAATAAAAGTCAAGAAGCTCAATTTATAGTTCCTAGGAATATTTTTAAACAAGATTTTCATAAGATTCTTCTGACATGTTCATTTAGTGACTTTTTATTTGAATAAGGATTGCAATGTTTGATTAATTCGATACAGAACAAGTTCACAGAGAATCTAAAAAATAGTTGGAGCAATAAATTGTGATGTTATCAATACAAAATGTATAGAGATTAATTTATCTCTGATTATAGTCTGAATAGATGCATCCAATCATACTGCTTATCTGTAAAACTATGACCTATTATCTATAAAATTATGATCTGGCCAAAGCATGCAGGTAATGAACAAATTTCTTATATTTGAAATTTTCTGATGTTAAAATATTCATTCTAAGCATACTTTCACTGAGCTCTGGCATTTTGAAAATTTTCTGGTGCATAAAGCTTTCTTACTGGAAACTTTTTAAAAAAACACTTTATTCCTTCTTTAAAACCTCAGATAAATAGCAGAATGGCAGTGCAATCTGTAAACAGTGTCTTATTTCACTAATAAAATACGTAGCGCCTTTCACCCAATGATCTCAAATTGTTTCAAGAACATGAACTCATTAATACTAATTTTCAGACTCTTGTGATATGATTGATCCATGCCTTCCTATTTTGTTCCTCAAATTGTGTTGCAAAAAACCTTGAGACACTTCAAAATTAATCAGATGTTGTTTGTTGAAAGGTATTAAAACAATAATTTTAGAGGATTTTACTACAAGATTTCTTTCACTGTGGAGAATGACTGGTCTATAGTAAAAGAATAACTAAAAGGGATTTTGGTCAAAATAGCAGCTGAAAAATTCAATCAACTGGGCAGTTTCTTATTACAGTTCTAAACAATTGATTTATTCAGTCAATCAACAGACACTTATAAGCACCTACTATGTTAAGTGCTACAGATACAAAAAAAGACAAAAATTATTCTCTGCTCTTAAGTAAATCACGGACTAATGGGGGAGACAACATGCAAACAAAAATGTATAGACAAGATATATAAACAAAAAATTGGAAATAATTAGCAGAGGGAAGTCACTAGATTTAAGTGGGATCTGGAAATACTTCATGTAGAAGGTGGGATTTTATCTGGGATTTGAAAGAAGCCAGGGAAATTAAGATGTGGAGATGAGGAAAGAGAGCATTCTAGGCTGTGTGAGATAGCAAATGAAAATTCCTAGAGTCAGGAGAAGGTGTATCTTGTTTGAGGAACAGTAAGGAGTTCCAATATCATTGGATCACAGAGTACACAGAGTATGTGTGTGGGAGGGGTGAAAGATGTAAGAAAATAGGAAAGATGGGGAGATGGGGAAAGTTCTGAAGGGCTTTGAATGCTTAACAGAGGATTTTATATTTCATCCTGCAAGTGATAGAAAACTACTGGAGTTTATTGAGTATGGGGATGATATAGCCGGATCTACACTTTCAGAAAATCAGTTTAACACAACTTTCACCCAATGATCTCAGATTGTTTCATGAACGTGAACTCACTAATACTAATTTTCAGACTGTTGTGATATGATTTATATGAGTGAAGGATAGTCTGGGGTGGGAGGAGACTTTTGATAGGGAGACCAACCATCAGTCTATTATAGTGATCTAGATATGGAGTAATAAAGGTCTGCACCAAAGTGGTGGCAGTGTTAGAGAGAAAAGGGTATATGCAAGTGATGTCACAAATTAAAAATTATCTTTTAAAAATTAAATTAAATTAAAAATTTAATTAAAATTAAATAAAAATCTTGGCAAGATTGTAAGGGAGGCAGAGCCAAGATAGCAGAGTAAAGTCAGGGACTCACTTGAGCTCTCCTCCAAACCTCTCCAAAAAAAGGTCACACATGTCAGATGGGCTAATGTGACAGAAAAAGGAAATGACAAATGTTGGAGGGGATGTGGGAAAATTGAAACTCTGATGTATTATTGGTTAAGTTGTATATTGATTCATCTATTCTGGAGAGCAATTTGGAACTATGCCCAAAGGACACCCATGCATACCCTTTCACTTAGCAATACCACTACTAGGTCTCTATCCCCAAAAGTTAAAAAAAAAAAATTAAAAGGAAAAGGACCCAAGTATTTATAAATATTTATAGCAGCTGTTTTAGTGGTGGCAAAGAATTGGAAATTGAGGGAATGTCCATCAGTTGGGGAATGGCTGAACAAGTTGTTGTATATGATTGTGATGGAATACTAATGTGCTTTAAGAAATGATGAGCAGGATGCTCTCAGAAAAACCTGGAAAGACTTACATGAGCTGATGCAAAGTGAAATGAGCAGAACCAGGAGAACACTGCAAACAGTAACAGCCATATTGTATAATGATCTACCATTAATTATTTAGCTCTTTTTAGCAATACAATGATTCAAGACAATTCTGTAGGACTTATGATGAAAGGTACTATCCGTCTCCAGAGAAAGAACTGGTAGAGCTTGAGTGCAGATCAAAGATACCTTTTCTTTACTTTCTTTATTTTTCTTGGAGTTGTGTGAATGTGTGTGTATGTGTGTGTTTTCTTTCATAACATGACTTACATGGAAATGTTTTGCATGAGTGGGGAGTTGATGATGACACTTAGACTGTGACCCTAAGTCTCTAGGAGAATCATGATACCCTTAACAGTAATAGGAAAGTTATGAAATGGAGAAGATTTGGGGGAAAGATAATGAGCTTAGTTTTAGATATGCTGAGTTTAAGTTGTCTACAGGACATTTGAGATTGCCAATAGGCAGTTAGAGATGAGAGACTGGGGTAAGCAGAGAGCTTAGATCTGAATAAGTAAATTTGAGGATCATTAGCTTTAGAGATGATAAAATCACTAGATGAAAGAGTATAGAGAGAGAAGAGAACCCAGGGCAGAACCCTGTGGAATACCTACAGTGTACAGGTATGACCTAGATGAAGATCCAGAAAAGGACACTGAGGAGAGGTCAGAGGAGGAAAACCAGGAAAGATCTCTCTCTCTCTCTCTCTCTCTCTCTCTCTCTCTCTCTCTCTCTCTCTCTCTCTCTCTCTCACACACACACACACACACACACACACAAAACCTAGAGAAAAAAGAGTGTCAAAGAAAAAAGTAATGAATAGTGTGCAAGGTTGCAGAGAGATCAAGAAGGATGAAGATTGAGAAAGTGGCACTAGATTTGGCAATTAAGAGATCATTAATAACTTTGAATAGAATGGTTTTGGTTGAATGAACAGGTCAGATGGAAGGTAGATTGAAGAGAATTAAGAGATGGGGTGGAACCAAAATAGGGGGAATATCTGGAAATAGTACATTGAACACTCCCCCCAACACTCAAAATTTGTGCAAAACAAAACAAAATAACCTCCTGCAAACAGACCTAGAAAGTGCACCAAATCAAATCATGATGGGAAAATCCAAGAAAAAAAATCTCAGTAAATCATATTTCCAACCCAGGATATAGGGTATAGGATACAGACTGAGAAGTCTATTGACATTGAGAACTAGGGCTATCCAAGAGTATGGCAAAATACTTCAGTGCCCAGGGATAGTCTGTATAGTAGTCAAGAAGAGGTCCCAGATCCACATTAGGGTACTGCAGGGTAGGGGAATAGGTACTAACTGGAAGTTTGTCATTACTATCCATTTCCAATTTATAAATTGAAGATGGACCTTTGCCCAGGGTTAATATTTTTGGGTAGGGAACAGACTCAGGTCCTACAATGAGAGGAATAAATTCAGAAACAACAATAGTAGTGTGATGCTGACCTCCAGAATAGATCAAGGTCTCAGTTCCA